GAAAATGTGTGATGTCTTTGATACTGTACAACATTTTTGCAGTGTTTAAATTCCAACTCTGCACACTGGTGATGACTTGTTTTTCAGCACGTGCAAAGATTTCTTCTGTGTTTAATAAATATTCCATCCCTGTTCCCTCTTGTTTGGTTTTTAGCAAGGCCAGTTATGTGGTATTTTATTCATAAGTTAGTTAAAAAGGTTGATTTTCTTGTTTTCTTTTTTGGTTGTGGCTCTTGGTTTATAACACATCAGCTGGAACATTGGACCTGCACACATCATCTCCATTTCAACTGAAGTGTACTTCTTCTACGAGTATGGAATTGAGCAGATTGTTCAACAGTACGAATGGTTGGAAAGAGACCTACAGGTCAGTTTTCTTTGAATGCTTTTGAATTGACCATTGACCTCATAAACTTTCCAGCCGAGCATTTAATTTCTCCAAACAATATCACACCTGAACCAAGAGTTAAGGTTACAAGGATTCAGGAAATGACCACCAACTAGAGAAGCTCTGACTTGATTGTCACCTCTCTTGCAGCAATAATTTTTATAATAAAATTATTGATGATGATGTAGTTTAAAGCATCTTATTTCATCATGCATCATGCATCATGTTTACAGGATATTTTTATCTTGTAAGGTAAACAAATGAACTGTATTCATTTGATAAAAAAAGCAGCATAATAAGTTTTGTTTCTCTTTTCCATGCTCATTCTCAGGAAGCAACGAAACCTGAAAACCGTGCCCAACGCCCTTGGATTATTACAATGGGTCACAGACCAATGTACTGCAGTAACTCTGATGGCGATGACTGCACCAAACATGAAAGCATTGTATGTTTATTTCTCAAGAAAGTATTCAATCACAGTTTTATTCCTAGCCTGCTTGCAAGTAGTAGTTGGTAATGTGCCAGATTCAGCATGGTGAATATAATTATTCTGTCACCATATTGGATGGATGGAAGATCTGGGACGAGTGACTAAGCAAGGGGAAGGGGGAGAAAGCCAGAAACACTTTTTTTTCTCCCCCTTCTCCCTCTCCCTTGCTTTGTCAGTCATCCAGGTCTTCTGCCCATGCAAAATGGCGACTGAATGTATTTGCCACACTGAATGTCATCCACACCAACTACTGCCTATTTTATTCATACAGAGGTGTAGAAGTTTCGACAATTAACACTAACAAATTTACAAAACCCCACACCCTCAAAACCCAATCAGTCTACCCCTAACCTCAAGGCAATGCATAGAAACAGTTCTACCAGTTTCCATGTAACGTATTGTAGTTCTGCTTTCATTTCTGACCATTTTTTTCTTAATACAAACTCTGTAGCTTCGTACTGGGATCACATCTCAACATCTCTTTGGTCTGGAGGACTTGTTTTACAAATATGGTGAGCTTAATGTAGCCTTGCTGTGATTACTATTTCTTTGCACTGAGAAGAGAACCTGTTCAGAAAATAGGTGTGTTAAGAGAGGTTTTGCACCTGTTCATGTTGTTTTAAAACAAACAGGTCAAGGCCTTGCCCTGAGTGAAAATGAATTATTTCAATTTTCGTACTTTTGATGTGAATGAACGATTCACATTTCTTAACAGTTGTGCTCCAAGTCTGTGGAGAATATTTTTGTTTATAACAGAATTACAAGTCTTGCACAGTTCTTTCAACTTGAAAGGCTTACTGTTTGAAAATTTCACTACAGCTTTAAGTAGTGGTAGTGTTTTTATCCATTTTCTAGTCTGAATGAAGAAATATTGCTTCAAAGTGAAGATGGTGTTTTGAAATTTAGATTTGTGTGGATTTGGTAGATTTGTCTTTTTTCCTTTCATTTTCAAATTTAGTCATTTAAGAGTGGCTCTATCAATTTCCCCACAGGTGTTGACCTAATGTTTTGGGCTCAAGAGCACTCATATGAACGTCTGTTCCCCATCTACAACAGGCAGGTAAGAGAACAGATTAGTGTGGCAACAATTGCCTGAGGACCCTAAAGCAGCTTGTACTTTGTCCTGCCAGACCCCTCTCACTCTTGCTTTCTTTTATTCATGGTAGGTTTGCAATGGATCACTGGAGCAGCCTTTTACCAACCCTTGTGCCCCAGTACATGTAACCACAGGATCAGCGGTATGTTGAATACTTACAAGTAAGGTACACTGGACTTGACCTCCTGCCTTGTTATGTTACCTAACCTGTTTTCAACTGTTATTGTATTCCCAAATTTTCAACCTTTCAAACCTGTTTTTTCACTTGCATTTTGTTTTGTTCATGACTGAAAGGATTCATTTTCATTCTAGGGATGTCACGAAGACCATGATCCATTCAAGAAAGATTACCCCCCTTGGACAGTCTTCCGTTCAGAAGATTATGGTTACACCCGTATGACCATCTACAACAAGACCCACCTGTACTTGGATCAAGTCAGTGTGGATAAGGTAATAGTCACTCCCCCACCCCAGCCCCTCTCCTTACATTTGACTGTCACTCACCCCCTTAGTACAAATTTCTTTCTCTCCTCAGCCTTCTGTCTCCATTAAAATCAAACATGGCTCCCATAGTTTGCTAAGAAAATACTGAGCACTGGCCTGCCTAAATTAAACCTGCTTTGCAGGCTAGCTACAGTGTAAATTAGATGCTAAGCACAATGGTGAAGATATTTCTGGCTGTCCATGAAAGATGTAACTGAATTGCTTTATAATAATCAACTTTAAAATCGTTGTTACATTTTTCCACCAGCAAGGAGAGGTCATTGACAAAGTGATGATTATCAAAGATGAGCATGGACCTGATGCTTGGATGCGAAAGAAAGTGTGGGCATAAATTCAATCAAGACCATGAACTCCTTTTCTAAGTCTCTCAGTTTACACACTCAATTGTGTGGAGTTGCCCAAATTTTTTACTGTTAATTTTCAATTCATCCAGTCCCATCTGGGGCTCGGATTTTTTCAATTTTCAATTCATACAAAAATTCACTCTGTTAATGAAAGATTTCATTTTGACAATCATTTGTTAAAATAATTAGTGTCAAACACAAAAATACATACAAACAGATTGAAAGATAGAAACTCATTCATCAACATTTTAAGAACAGTAAAAATCCGCAAGTAAGAACCTAAAAAATTAAGAACCTGTTAGCCTAAAATTTGCCATTTATACCCCTATAAACAAGAACCTATTTAGCCTAAGAAAATTAAAATAGGTTCTTATTTTCTAAAATCATATAGTACATTACAGGTATGCTGAAATTATTTACTGTAATCATAATTGAAGAAAAACCAGATTGCCATTGCTGTAAAACATGATTTTCTTAAGAAAAACGAGTGCAAAATGTGTAATTACAAAATATAGGACAATTACCAACTTGTTATACAGGTGTGTTTTTCTCCAAGAATAAGAACCTGTTTTAAGAACCTAAACAACCTAAAATTTTGTTAAGTACCATTTATATGAGAACCTGTTTAGGCTAACTACTAAAAATGTAGGTTCTTGTGGGTTTTTACTGTATTAAATCATAGAGCTGTTAGTTTTGTTTTGTTATTGATCAAATTGTAAGAAACAAAAAGAAAGGAAAAAATTCTTTACTTTACACATAATTTTTCAGTGTAAGACTAAATTTTTAATACTTAGATGAGATCTGTTGTAGCTGATTTTTCCAACTAATGAATTTTGGGAATGCAGTGTTTTCCTGTAGCCAATTTATTTTTTCTTTTTGAATATATGAAGCCAGGTTATCTCTTAGTCTGGCATATATATAGTTTAGATAGAGCTGATGGCTGGTAAACTGTTTTTACACTCTTCTGATGTCTTTGCAATAGTCCATTTTACAGTTGTGTGCTTGGTTGCCAAGCCTTTGAATGGGAGTGAGGCAAGGGTTGACCTTGTTATAATACAAACATTGCTGCCTTTCAAATGTAAATCACTTTGTTATCATGCTAAGTAGATACAGGTCTCTATCACAACAAGGTCACCTTCAGCCTCACTCTGATTCAAAGGTTTGGCAACTAAGTACACAACTGTAAAATGGCCTATTAAATTATGTATTTTATGTATCTCAATCGTCTTGCCCCAATTTCTAATAACTCAAACAAATCTCCTCAGCCACCCCCATCCACCCTCCTGCCGCCTAGTGTCGACACCTCAATTCCTAGTACTCGAGTGGGAATTCTCCTTTTCAACTGTGATACCCCCCCCCATTCAAGTTGATGAAGACTGCTCAGTCATATTGGAACACCTTTCAGCTCATGAATTTGTCTCCTTTCATCAACTGTTAGCTGGCTAATTTATGGAAACACAGTTAGCTGTTACATTTGGATTATTTCTGCTTGTTGTAGAGTAAAAAGGTGGACCTGAATAACAAAATACCAGAATATTGAGAGCAGAATACTAGCCGTTCTTAGTCATTACAACAGCGCGGCAGAAAAATGGTGAGAGAAAAAACGATATTAAGAGGGTGAGCAATAGTCAAGATGAAGGAGAGGAAAATGGGTGTGGTAACCATCCCCCATAAGGGGCCTGTACTGCTATCATTGAGAAGGCACAATGATGGGGAGAAAGTAGAGGCGGGAGAATAAATGTACAAATAATTATTGCCTTTATTGAAAAATATTTACTAAGAAAATATACATCTCTGAAGCTTTTTCAAAAAATTGTTACTTGCCTAAAATATTAAATTTGAATTGTAGATGTGGTATGCAATTTTAAAAATGTATTTGAAGTTTTATAAACAATATTGCCCATCAATCATGTTAAGTAGGGCTTCCATCAGCTTCACGTAGTGATGAGGATAGAACGAAAATAACATTACAATAACATAAATATCTGGAAGGTTGGTTTTTGAAACATATACATTGACGTAAGTTATAAACAGTAAATTTATGATTCAGTTGAGGTCTCGATAAAAATCATTCGTTAGAAAAATATTTTTTGACCCATGGTTTCACTTGCTTTTAAAAAGTCCAAGGACACGACGCTAGTCCCAAAATAAGAATTCTGACCTCAAACATAAAAACAAATAAGTGAGTTCTCTCCAGTGTCGTGGACAATTCTTCGGTCATGTCAATAACCGATACGAAATTTTTGACGACTTGCGAAAAGTTTATCACGCTAGTTGTCTGGTGATCTCCAACTCGACTTCTGGAACGATTGCGTAACCAGTCAAACACGCCAAGGCGGAAGTTAACGTAGCAACCTGACTACGCGAATACTTTTCCTTACCCTCTCTTTTTCATGTCATAACGAATTTCAAGAAGGGGACAAAAAGATGAACCACACATATAAATAAAAATACATGTAACAAAGTTTAGCCGACTTTCTTCGTGTGTTCCAAGACAAATTTCTTAACTTCTTCCATAATTCTCAACCTCGGACCCAGTGGAATTCCCAAGCTTTGTAATCGTTCTTCAGTCATGTAGGCAACCTCCAGTATGCCAACTTGTTCGGCTTCAAAGTTGTCTACAAATCTCTGTTGGAACACGAAGTGAGAACATCATTAACCCTTTGACCGCTAGGAATGACCAGTATCTAATTTCTCCTTACAATATCACCGCTTAATCAAACATTAAGGTCAGGAGAATAAAGGAAATGATCCCCAACTAAAGGAGCTCTTGACTGTTGCACAAATTCTCCTTGTACGAAAAACAGCATGGAGAATATACACACTAGTGTTGGGGTGAAAACGGTGCACACGAATGAAAAGACGGATTGTTTGAGGGAGTTCGCGAATAAAAAAAAATAAATACGGCAATATCTGTTGCTTGGGAATGATTTGACGCTACATAGTTCGTCGACACCAGAAAAATCGCGACACACATTTGGCTGTTCAATACCCATTGCGAATTCCAAAAACGAGAGCTGTCGTCTTAAAATAAATAAAGGGGGTAACTTTCTAAAGAAACCTGTGGTGCTGCGTCGGTATGGGTAACGAGGCAATTTGGTTTTATCCACTACGTTGAAATTGAAAATTGGCCACCGCAAATAGTTAAAAAGCTGACGTTTCGAGCGTCAGCCCTTCGTTAGCTTTTTAACTCTTTACGGTGACCAATTTACAATTTCAACTTAGTTGATAAAACCAAACTATCTTAAAATAGGCCAAATGATGTTTTATAACGGTAGAGACTTCAGGGCAAATCAGTCTCTGAGCCTCATATTCTCCTGACCTAACACAAATTCACGACTTTCCAGTGACCCAAAAGTGACCTTCTGTGCAATGTCCTTATATATTGACCGATTCCTAAATGGCCAAGTTTATTTACGCAACTTTTTTGCGTACAGGAACTCTAAATAAAGACGCTTTTTCAGCCCACGTATATGTATCACTTGACGCGGGAAAATGAGTGGGTTGCAATGAACAGAGAATTTGTGGCCACAAAAACTTAGTCGTAGATATAATGTCATACACGTGACAGTGATTGATACATCAAAGAGAGATCGTTAGTGTGTTTGACCCTAAGAAGTCAGGGACTTAACTCACAAACTACCCTCTCCACCCTGGATTTAAAATAGGTCCCGGTGAACAATACGGCAATACGGGAAAGTTGGCGAAATGATGAAGATGGACCAACATCCTAACCAAGAGTCGTGGTATAACTCCTAGCAACACAATGGTTCAGAAAACTGAATAAACTCTGACGACAATGTATCAAAAGGCTCGTACTGCTAAAGTAACGTAAATTCGAATAAAAATGCACATTTGCGTCATACGCCGCCACTCGGCTTTAGTTCGCATTACCTCATATCCGAGCTTCTTGAGAAAGAGAGCGAGAAGTGGAGGATCTTCACCGAAAAAGCTAAAAATAAAAGAGAAGCCATGTTAAAAATCATTCAGATCACTTATTTCTCGTTCCTAAAGTTGCCAGCCAGGAATGAATGGAGTTTAGTACAAAATGGTACTTAAACAAATTTTTCACGCAAGAAAACGAAAGCCAAACCAAATCCGTCAAACTACAGAGGAAATACTCTTCCGTGGGCGTTTACACGCGACTTATTGTACACTATCTGGTTTTCCAGGTGCAGTTCTAAACATAGTAAACCTGACGTATTTAATGCTATTTTTAACCCACTCATTTGCGCACTTAAACAGTGTTACGACTGATGCAGGTAACGAAATTAAAGATTCAGACCCCGCTGAACTGTTTCGCAATCGGCTTCTTTTCTACCATAGCACTCGTCATGAATAATTTTAATGTTAAGCATCTTAATTGTATCTGATATAGAAAGATTCTGGTATATCGAAGTTCCATTACCTATATTCTACTGGCAGAAGCTAAGTCGCATGAAAGAATATTGTTCGTCCGGCTTAAAGAAGTTCGTTTTATCGGCAACTCAGTTACACGAGAGATCGTAATGAGTGAACTTCGATTGGTTATATCGTAATTAATTTAACTATTCAGACACTCCGGACGCTCTCACTATCAATAGGTGCGTGAAGATAAGAATACGTAAAAAGAAGCTGTAAAGTTTTAGATTCGCGATTCTCATTGAAAAATATTTAAAAAGCCAATGGCACACTTTTCCAAGTTGATACTGACGGGGTCCAATTATCTAGCTATGTCTCAAACTGTCTCAACGGTCTCGAGTTCCCCTATCTCCACGCGATATTGGGGATTTTTTCGCATACTGTAGGCTTTGTTATACAGGAGTTTGTGATACCGGGACGTAAGGTAAATGAGGATCGATTTACCTCGGACTTTCATTACCTAAAGGTTCTTTACGTAAGGGTGATTGATAAACCTACATAGGGGCATCTACCGAAGCAGAACTTTCTTGACAACAGTGGATTGTCCTTATAGGGATGTTTGTTTATACCGCCAAATTTTGTTCGATACGGATTTCATATTTCGGGGCTAAATGGTTCCGTTGTAGAAATAATTTTTCAAGAAGTACCTCTTAAGTTTTTTCACTATCGACTGCAGCTGAGCGCTTTCCTTGGCCGCGTCACTCTCCTCCTTAGTTTTGAGTTGTTGATCTTGTACTTGCCGCCTCATGTCGTCTACATCCTGACTAAGCGAAGCTTGTGAACGTAATTCTGATGACAAATGAGCCACACTTCTGGCGAGAGTGACCACATGAGATTCTAAGCGACCAAAGCGCTTGTTTACTGCCCTGTTGAAAAAAAAATACGAACCAGGATATTCAGTTAAACGAACGAAATTTCCTCTCGTCTCGTAAAACGGGCATCTGAACATCTCTATTGTGCCTTAATAAGTGAAAAGTTAGGTTCTTCGTGCATACCTTTTTTCCTCTGGCATTCTATGACTGTCAGGCCAATTATGTTTACTAGAAATATCTACCTACAAACTGTTAAACTCTTGCCAATAACCGCGATTAGATGGGAAAGCTGTGTCCAAATTTGTAACCATAGTGACGTCAATAAAGGCCCAATTCATGCCTCACTACAAAAACCTCTTGACGCCAATAACTCGAGTGTTTTCCGTTAAAAGGATTTCGTTTACATTTTATTTTGTCTATCCGGAAAAAAAAGTTCTTTCTTAATACCATAAAGTTAAGAAGGCTTTGAAAATTGAATACAGAATTGTATGAAAAAATTATAAAAAGTTGTTGAAAATTTGAAAATGATGGTCAAAAATAGGGCCTGTTTGATCTCTCATTCCATTTCCATGGCTTCGTCCTCCGCAAATTACTTGCTTCTTATTTAGAGCCACACAAATATGTACTAAAATATATTGGTTACGTTATTCCTGTAATTGTGACAGAATATCAGAGACGAAAAGCCAGTATGTGATCAATTATTAAAAGCCATCTCACGCGAGAATATATTGAGTTTTAAAATACTTCATTTTTAGACGCATGTTTCGGCCCCAAATTTTCAAGAGCATTAACATCTGTGTAAAACTTTCTAAAAAAGACGATGTCAGGCGCAATGAAGGAAATAAACACTACAAGAATTTGCCTGTAATTTCTAAAAACCATGAATGAAGTCGTGTTTTCAGGAAATTTTAGTGATTTGTTTCCTCGCAAACAAGACTCATTCTGCTTCGGAAGTGAAATATTTACGTGAAAGCTGTATTGGTAACTCACACAGACTCTATTTATAGAGAAGGCAAACACTCCGACAACACACCATATTTAAACTGAATATCGCAATGTTTTCTTCTCTTAATTATTATCATTTTTCGCTATCATGTTAGGAACATAACTGGGTATGAAAACACAGCACTGATGGAACGAGGTTCACACAACTTGTTGACTTTTAAATCGACGCGGATAAAGACTTCCAAAAAAAACTTAATTAAATCAGTATAAAGTTAATGTAATCAAAAGATTCCCATTTGGCCTCAATTTGTATTGTGAGCATTCTTGTAAAATTCAACGAGTTGTTAGCAATGTGGTATTTCTCAGTCCGCGTATTATTATATAACTTCGATTATTTTCCTTCTATCCAAATGCAACCTTCCCATCACAAAATAAATCAATAAAAACATGAAAGATAATAAAGTAAGGAACTCATAAGTAAATCACGAAATCTGAGAAATGAAGCATTAAATAGCAGCGACATGAAGCGGAACCACGTCCTAACAATTCCTGCGTGTAACACAACGTAAAAATCTTAATTCGTGCGTAAGAATTTTGTTCCAGAAAAAGGGCACACAAATTCAAACTTGTTTGAATTCACGCAAATGCTTGAATAATTAAAATACGTCTCATTGACTTGTTTTCGGCAAGAACCTAGCGGAACAGCTGAACATAGAGACATGCAGAAGCAACTCTTCCCCCACAGTGTGTCAGACTTAAATCTGGGGCTTCCCAAATTTCGCATAAAATCCAAATCATATTAGAAATCAAACATAAGCCTCACTTGATATCTTTGTTCCTCTGCTTTTTATAACTTGCCAAGCTGGCTGCAAAACAAAATGTACAGTGCTGAACATCGCAGTCAAATACTTACATGGCGAACACAACGATCCTTTGAAAGAGAATTCCGGTGAAAATGAGGAACTATAAATTCGTAAATCGCTTCTCCGTCCGCGGGAAGATTGGAGTCGATTCGGGCTGAAGTTTACTGAGGGTCTGGCACTACTACTTGTTATCAGCGCTACATCCGTTCCAGATCCCTCCGGCTCGCGTTGCACAAGGCCTCACAATTTCACGCGGGCTAAGATATTCTCGTGCGCAAGCGCCAATAATTGGGGTCTCGACTCCTCGCAGGTCACGGCTGCGCAGAAGCGCTCTGTACTGGTTCTCCGTATTAGAGGTTTTGCACAGCAGCCATGTTGGATGGCAGGAACAATGAAAATATTTTGCATAAGAAAGAAAATTTTTTCCCATGAGTAAAATAATCTATTGTTCCTGCCATCCAACATGTCTGCTGTGCAAAACCTCTATACCCAGTTTAACGGCACCCTAAGTGGATGAGTTAAAGGACATAGTTAAATTAGAAATATCACTCACCTTGCATTGCAGCTGTTCTTTGGCTGAATTTATTGCTGGACTTTTTGGAATCCTTGGATTCGACATCTTTGCTAATCAATATTTCACTGTACATCTCCTCTAAGAATTCCAGCTGCAAATGAAAAGAGAATAAAATTACGCAATCATAGGAAAAATTTTAGAAAAGCCAAGTCTACTACTATTTTCGCTTGAACATTACAGTTTATTAAGCACTAAATCTTCGGCACGTTACCTTTGTGTAATGTTATGTCTCCAAACGAATTTCCTAAAGAAACTTACCTGTGTACGAATTTCCTGTAAATCTGGAGTACTCTTCGCTTTTCCTGTTAAAGAAGAAACAAAAACAAACAGATAAACAAAAGAACGCTGTTTGGTTTTCGGTAAAGTTCCTCCCACAACGGTAAAACGATTCCCGCCATTTTCCGTAAGATAAAAACTACTACAAGTAATTAAAAGCTAACCCACTTGGATAAGAATTTCATGGTAAATCACCTTCAAACGTTTTACCTACAAAGTTTCTTCGTAGCTGTTTGTTAGTAACCATTTGTACTCCTATTAGCTCAAATGAACGAAATATCTTGCACAAAAACCCCAACGAGCTGTTTCGAAACTTGAAAACAAAGCCTTATTTTAGAGATTTTAAATCTAATATTGCTTCAGCTTCAACTGTCCGCCATAAAAATGACGACTTTCTCTACTTTTGATTAAGATGTTAGTGTTAACCTTTTACTTATTTAGCTAGTCTTCTTCTTATTTTAATAGCGTATAAACTAAATACACGACCCCTCAAGCTGTTAGCTTTAATTACTATCGTGTTTAAATAAAGATCTTATCTTATCTTGATAAACAGGGCACCTGAGATTTAACCCTTTAAACCTTAAGAGTGACCAGCATGTAATTTCTCCTTACAGAAATACTGCTGAATCATTCATTATGGGTAAGAGAATAAAAGAAATAATCGGCAAAGTCACAATCTTTGATTGTTATACAAATTTCCCTTGTCAGTACCAAAGCAGATGTGTAGAGGAGGCTATGGAGAATGTGGATATTGATGCTAGGGTATGAGGGGTAAAGCTCTTATCTGCGAACAAAACAGAAATAACCAAACGAGGGCTTGAACCCGGACTACTGGATCGTGAGTCCTGTGCACTCACCATAAGTGAGAGCCATCTTATCTACCAAAAAGGCTACACAGATTGAGGAATCACAAATAAACACACCTGACGCAATCGAATTTCTTTTGTCCCTCCCGCCCCGGCTTCTGCTTGAAGAAACCGATGAGCGTCTCCGCCAATGACGACCTTCTTCTTCATCAGAACTTAAACCGGACGATTCTGATTCACTAACGAACACAAACGTGGCCACTGAAGAAGAGGGCGAAAGAGTCGGCAGCATTGGCGTGTCTGCTGGAGACACCGACTCCGATCCAGAAACAGTTGGCGTCGTTGATCTATCCGCCAGCTTTTCAGCGACCTGTTTCAAAAAGTTTGACCGTGAATTCGTTCTTTGGAAACGTTTAGGTGGTGTGCCTTCCCCTTTCACAAGCCTCATAGCATGGCCACTTTCACTGTGCGTACTGTTCACGCTACCAGACCTATCCTTCGTTCTTTGCATTTGTGGTCGTGAGGCCTGTATTTCGGATGCAACGGCTGTTGCTCTTGTTGTTAGTCCTACGGCTGTTGTTAATTTGCGGTGAAATCTTGGTGATTGAGCTGGCGAATCTGATTCTAGTCTCGTCTGTCTTTTAAGCGGCGCTGATGGTAATTTAGCTCCTCTGTTCAAGATAAGAGTTAAAAAAAAAAAAAAACACTTTAATTTCCAAGGAAGTTTTTGAAGTCCTTGGTAAGCGAACATGCGAAAGGGAAATGCAAAGCAGGGCCCACTTCTACTTGGTATCGTACAAACATAGCCCTAGTAATGAAAACCGCCAGTCAGAATAATGAGTACATTTAGAAGAGACAAACATCAAAGAAAACAAAAACTACCAAATGAAAGCGCGGAGAAGAAAAGGTTCCCTCGCTCCACGGGGCGGCAAAATAAGAGA